CTCTCTCTCTCTCTCAGCACGCGCCGATGTCCCGCACAAGAGCGCGTGCCCGCCGTTTAGTCATACAGCGCGTACGAACGGAAACCCCCGTACGTACGGGCCATCTGTATGGAACACGTCCGTACGTACGGTGCGTACGCTAACACGCCGTCCTGCCGCGTCGCCGCCGCGTCGTTGTCGCACGGTCGTCGTCGTCTCTCTTCCTTCTCGTACGCAGCCCTTCGCGTCGTCACTGTCTCTGTCTCTCCCTCCCTTCCTCTCTCTCCCTAAAAGCTTCTGTGTGTGTGTGTGTGTGTGTGTGTGTGTGTGTGTGTGTGTCATGCCGTCAACAACGTCCACGAGCATTGTTGCGTGGGCGACAACAGCCTCAACACGAATGTGGGCGACAACACAAAACTGTGGATGTTGACGCCCACAACCTCACTTTAAAGCAGACGTCCTTGGCCTCTGCCTCAGTGCCTCCCTTTTTTTTGGGTGAAAAAATGAGAAAAAAAAAATGACTAGCCATGTCCCCGCGGGCCTCAGCCTGGCACCCACTGCCGCGGCCCAGGGCAGTTTCAGAGGGTCTTCGAAACTGCCCTGGGCCGCAGCAGTGGGTGCCTGGCTGAGGCCCGCGGGGACACGGCCAGTCATTTTTTTTTTCTCATTTTTTCACCCAATTTTTTTTTTTTTTTGATTTTTTCAACAGCACAGCACCGCACCCACTGACCTGTTCCAACACCCCAACACCCCAACCCCTTAAACCCCCCCCAGCACCTCCCCACAGACCCGTAGCACGCTCGTACGGGGAGCATCCGTACGGCCGTACGGGCGTATGTACGTCCACCCGTACGGCCCGTACGGGGACCCCCCGTACGACGTACGGGCGACGAAACAACTCTCTCTCTCTCTCTCTCTCTCTCTCTCTCTCTCTCTCTCTCTCTCTCTCTCTCTCTCTCTACTAATCAATCAATCAATCAATCGGAAAAAAAAAGAAGTGAAAAAACGAAAGCGGGGGGGCGGGGGGGGGGAAGCGCTTCCGCTCCCCCCCCTCGTCGCTTTGTTTTTTTCACTTTTGTTTTTTCCGCGGACGTAGGCGAAGGTCCGCAAAGGTGGCGGAGGTGACCACTCCCCCACCAATCAATCAATCAATCAATCAATCGATCGGAAAAAAAAAAAAAAAAAGTGTAACAATTTAACAAACGGTACGGGGTGGGAAGCAGAAGTGGAAGTTTTTCCCCCTGCTTCGTTGTCGAGCGCATCGATCCATCGCCGCACGGGGCAGCACGGGACCCTCCTGGCCACGTCACGCAGGAGTTGGTTTAAATCCTTCGTAGCGAATATACATGGAGCTCCCGCAAGCCGCTCCGGCCGAGTGCGCCAGCCATACCTCTCGCGAGCCYCTACGACAGGATAGGGCCTACGCGAGGCACAACTTACCTCCACCTTACGGGAGTTGTCACCTCCCTTCGGTGGGCGTATCCCCGCCGAGCTACCAGCCCACAGTACGAGAGCTAATCAGTTGCAATCGCAGAGGTGGACCAGCCGAGGGCGTTTCTCGTTCGTTGTAGCATAGGGGGTACGTGCGGTAATACGCCCATCGGACCCGCACGCGAACCGACATCTTGGGAAGCTGAAGTTCCAAGCGGCTCGTCGTCGGTCGACTAGGACGCATCCCACACACCACGCGCACTCCACTTTACGAACACACACACATACAACATGACACAACACGAACAACGGGATAACGCTCCTAGCCCCTCGGTAGCCAACCCATAACTTTTCGATGCGGAAATCAAATGGGCGTCGCGCGCGAGACTTAGTATAAGACCGCGTGGACGCAGGGCTAACTCATGTCGACTCGCGATGCACTCATACGCAAGCAGTCGCAGTGATGGCGTACTATGTAGTACCCATACTCATGCGATCCTTGTTGATCTCGAGGGTCGCATTCGACACTCAAGTGTCGGTTGACACGCTCCTTAAGGGTTAATCCCTCGACGTTGGACAACCGCCAAGCGGGGTTGAAGACCACACACCCTCTTCTGCACTCTGTGCAGAGTGGGTGGTACACAGGTCCATACATGTGGTGGCAGTCGTCTCTACTGCCATGGAGATGAGCCCCACTCCAGGCCTGGGCAGAAGTCAAGGGGTTTGACTTTGACGATTGCCACGGACTACAACGTCCAACTATAAAAATTAACAAGCAAAATAATCCAATAAATAAATAAGCATCCCACCGCTTGTATATCAAATCAGGACTCAGATAGCAACAAAAGAGTGAGAAAACATAAACCCATCAGGTATGCAGGTCGTGCGACACATGGTTGTCATTCTCACTGTCTCCAAAGTATGACACATATATCAAGCTCCAAATACTAACCTGCATAAAATGCAAGCACACACAATAGTCACATTGCCATACACCAACATGGTCAAGTTTACTGTTCCCTGTAACTCACACCATGCCTCACACACTCAAACCCCAGTCATAGTCAAAATCTCCATAAATCTCATAAGTTCTCTGTAATGACCATTAAAAGAAGTTCGGTGAAAACCCTCAGAGAAACATATCAAATCACAGGGCTAGGGAAGTCAAGTTGAGGTACAGGTGTGAGCAAAGTTGTGTCGTGAGCCGACGAGTCGACGATCAACCAACCGACCTGTTATCAATGATAACAGAATACGATCCTCATGAGATCAAGCTGAAACTAGTCCAAATCCTG